GTTAGCTGACAGCTTTGGCTGAGCGCGGGAGAAAAAATATTAGATATGGGCCTATACCCTTTATTCATTTTGATCAATCAATCTTTGAATGAGGTCATGCCTAAAAATTTACATTTTTAAGTTACCTTTTCTGAAATAGTTAATGAAAAATATTTATTTATTTAAGATAAAAAGAAATATGTATTTCATGCATTCATCACAAAAAAACATAAGATTCATTTACAACATTTTATAACCTATACGGAGGGTGATGAGTGCCAAATTACAATGAATAAATACCTTATTGAAATAATTACTTAAATGTGTTATTCATTTATGAAAACTGGAAATAAAAACAGAATGTAAGTAATACATATTGAATTAATTATAAGGACCGCAGTGAAATATATTGATTTAACTTAATTAATATATTTATTTAATGATTTCATAAATTACCTCGTGTTCCTAGACTGAAGTACAGCATTAATTTATTTAAACCATCACACCCCCATCAAAGTCAAGGAGGCAGAACCAGGGCTGCTTCCATAAAAATGCTAACATCTGATTGGCTGATTCTCACTGAGCAAGATAAGACAATTTCTTCCTGGCGTTCTAGTACTCTAAGCTCTATATAACCACCGGAAAAGGCAGAAATAACATAAAAATGTGCTGCAATTTATTTACAGTACCTTGGATGGGCAACTCCAGCCTCTATATCCCCAGTTGGGTCTGAAATATCTGTGTGATATAGCATGGCGGGAGCTGTCAGACTTAAAAAATAAAAATAAAATTAGCCCCGCCCACTCATGTTAGACCAAACTACGGACATATAGGCATTAAAGAGCTCCTCTATAAGCATGAATGTTTTTTTTCTCAATTTGTTAGACCAATTATCAAAAAGTTGTAAGAGTTAAAATAAATCCAGACCTAAACTTTACAAGCTTATCTGAAAGAAAGAAAAAAAAAAGATACCACTACTAAGATAACTGTTTGAAACAAAAATCCATGCTTTTAATGTTACTCAATTGGTTAATTTTATATTTTAGGATCTGTTTTTAAGTTATTTTTTCTGCTTTTAAATCTTAAATGAATTGGCACCCATACCTCGGTGAGCTCCTACAGCTATATTACCTACTCCTCTAGGTCTGCTGACCAAAAGCTGAGAATAAGCTTAGAGGTGATTACCCATATTTGCTGCTCCACAAATGTGGAGCGAGCTGCCATCACATTAGACAGAGCTCATCCCTCTGCGACTTTAAAAACATTTTCAAAACACACCTTGTTGCAAAAGTGTTTTATAAGGTTTACTTTTACTTTGTATTTTCTTTTAAGATATTAAATTGCTTTATAAATACAGAAAGTATGGTATATATATAATGCCAAAATCTCACATCCAGTTTTACATCTAAGTATTGTTTTCTATAAAAAAAATTAATTTCTGTTTATTTTGCTCCTGATACATGACATGCTTCCAAAAGTCCTATCACAGAGAGCTTTGGAAAAACTGTGTTTAAATATATCCCAAAGATATAAAAAGAAAACTGCAATAAAAAGTAATATCATGCAATACTTAAAGTGCACGGAAAACTTTATGAAACTAAAATACAAATAAATGGCTAAAAATAAACTAGCCCTATTTAAATTCTTATAATTAATTGAAGATTTTCTTCCCATCCCGGAAAAGCATCTGGATATATCCTTTCTGTAGTTTTATGTTGTTGTTTATTAAACAATAAGGAAAATAAGGAGAAATCAAATTCAAAAGATCTGAAGGAATCTCAGCTGCATCAGCCTAAACTCCTTATCGTGTGAAAAAAGTATTCAAACTATTCACTCCAGTTTAATAAACTGAGACCGATGGATTTTATTCAGTCGGCATTTCATTACATATTAGCAAAGAGAGAACAAGACAACACAGAGAATTTATTGCATGGTTATCAGCCCTGTTCTGATCTAGCCAGAGGTTGTCTTCCTTACTTACAATGATGGAAAGGTTGAAGGTTGTGTCAGAGTTAAAAAAAAAACTCTAACCAAAGCAAAAAAACAAATAGAACAAAAAAGTGTAAATGTTTTGAGAACTGCCTCATATTATGGCCAAACAGTCCTTCAAAGTATAAACACCCCCCTTTCTCTTAGACATGTTGTGGCCTTGGAGCTCTGAGGCCGATTAAATAAGTCAGCACTCATAAATTTGTATATATATTCCTACATAAATGTATGTAAAAGGGAATAAATTGGAGATGGATTTCTCCCACCACACTCCTAAAAAGGCTTGTTTTGAATCCCCCCTACTTGTGTCTATATTCAAAGCTGCCTGAATATTATATTTTAATTAAAAAGTTTCTGTCCTTTCACATTAACAGGGGAAACCTGCAGCATTATTAATAATTAACCTAATGTACTTATTCTTCTGTGCTCCAGATTGATTACACAAACCGCATACTGAACAGCATCCAGCGTGGCCTGTTCCTGGAAATACAGGAGACGGGGATCTATGCCAGGAGGCAGGACAAATGCCACGTGTTTGCTAGCACCAGCGACCCCAGCATAGCTCATCCTAACCCCCAGAAGCTGCCCCAAAACACTGTGGTGGAGCTCCTCAGTTTTGACAAATATATTAATGGTGGGTTTTGAAATTTCCATCTTCGTTAAAATTTTACATTTTATAAGATTTTATGAAAGCTGCATTTTTTTAAATGATAATAACCAACCCTTCAATCTGTGCCTGCTTTAGAGCTTAAACAGTTTAAGGAGAACAATGGCCGCTCTCCTGAATACACCATCAACATGTGCTTTGGAGAGAGGTTTCCAGATGGAAAACCGCTGGAAAAGAAGCTCATTGTTGTAAAAGTAAGACTTTATTATTTTGTTTACTCCTATTCATCGTCTACACTAGTCGGTAAAGCAAATTTTTTAAATGTTCTCTCCTTTTCTCCTACAGGTGGTGCCTTTAATTTGTCGATATTTTCATGACATGGCCCAGATGGAGGGGGCTTCATCTCTCCACTGCTCCAACATCAGCCTCCAGATTTCACACAACAGCCTCTTTGATCTCATCAGCTCGGTGTTTTCTCTGCCCGGAGCCGAGGAGCCGCTCTCCACTGCTGTGCCTTTCATAGATCAGATTTTTAAAACTTGATTTCTCGTTGATCTTTAGTGGAAGTGATGTAAAATACTAGCTATTTTGATGCACTCAGGTTAATGGGTTAAAATAACTGGCTACTTACAATTAAGGTGAGATTTATCATCACTTATCTCATTTTCCCTTTTTGTTTGCACTACTGAAACACTTGATACTTAAACCACTACAAAAGTACAAACAGTCTTCTTAGATGTTGAACGTTGCAAAAAGATGCAACTCTAAATTTACTGTCAGCTTCTTTTTATTTCCATTTTATATACAAAAATATTTTTTAGATAAGCTCCAATCTTCTTTTTTTTACATCTGCAACAAATGTTTGTCTTTTAAGAGCTGATATATAGCGAATTATACGTTAAGCTATGACTCCTATGCAGCTCTATCCCACAGGGCTTATAAACTATGTAAATACATTGATGGTGCAATTACTTGTCTTTTAAGAGCTGATATATAGCAAATTTTACGTTAAGCTATGACTCCTATGCAGCTCTATCCAACAGGGCTTATAAACTATGTAAATACATTGATGGTGCAATTACTTGTCTATATGTTTTCAAACTTGTACTTATGTTTTCAAACAGTTAAATAAAAATAAAAACCTGAAGATTTTGTGGGTTTCTTCATTACCGTACATGAAATTTAAGTCAGAACCTAGAAAGCACAGCAGTTTAAATTACCAGTGTATTGCATGTAAGTTGGATCTACACAGAAAGTTTGAAATGGTTATATGTTAAAAACAGCCTCAATCACGAGGTTAATTATGAGGTTTATATGTTGGAAAATAGGTGTCTCTTTAATTTCTAAAGGTGATTAAAAAACAAAAAATGAATGTGATCTGGTAATGTGTGGTTTGTCAGAACCTCATGGTGAGTCTCTCTTCTCCAAAGAGCGGAGTTTAGGGAACTCATCCAGGTTTAAAGCCTCTATAAATATATATAGAACAAGACTTTTATGAAAGGGCAAGAGATGACAGTTTAACGGTTCAAGATTCAGTTTTGTAAACACTTTATATTTGCATGTCTGCAATGTTCATCTATTATTGTGTAGAGTTCATGAAAGGTTGTCTAGCTTCTGCTTTTGACAGGTCAAACAGCTGCTGCTGGAAACATGACCGTGGCTCAAGCTGACAGATCGAGGCGGAGCACCTCAGCAGAAGCCCACCAACACCAGCGTGTCATGTTCTACTTTTACTTGTTCTTTTTTAAGTCTTCGTATTAGTGTTTATCTGCTTAGCTGATTGTTAGAGGATAAACCTAAGGCAATAATTCTTGATTCTAGTGATTAGATGTATTAAATAACTATATTTATAATAATTGATATATGAATGCTATTTTATAAAGAGAAAAAACTTTTCACTTTAGAAATATAGGTAATTTGTTAATATATAAATCAGACTAAGAGATTAGCTAATACAAACAACTGTCTTTAGTTTAATCAGACATGAAACCTTTTCTATTTCCTGAATAAAACATTTGCAAATATTACAAAATTTTAAACTAGTATGTATTACTGTAAATATGTGAGGGTATATAAAAAGAGAAATACTATTCTATTTGTAATCACATTTATAGCAATTAAACTTTTATATCACAACTGATAAGATTTACACTTAAAGTTTATTCTGCAAATAAAAAACCTGTTTGCAGGAAAATGTTTCCCTTTATTAATGTATGTAAAGTTTAGCTGTTCTTATAAACACTAGCAATCCACACTACACCAGATTCATATAGGAAACCCTACTCTTATTACCAAAAATGATGAGCAAAGGAGGGACTGAGACAAGCCTTAATCCTTTTGAGGTTGTACTGCTTCAAATCTCACAGTTTACCAACAGTATTAAAATGATGCATATGCCAGTTATGGAAGTAGACCTCAAATGACAAAAATGTCACAATTTTAAAGGGTTTTATTTGTGTCCCATTTGAAAAAACTCCAAGCCTGTTTCATCAAGTTAACTGAACAAAAATCAGAAACATCCAGATGAGTATGAGCACCTTTTTTTCCTCTCCTTTTTTAGCATCTCCCATTTCAAGTCTCTGGCTTCATAAAGCCGATATGCACAGGGTATAAATACAAGGTTCCACAACCCTGCTAGCAAATCTTTAAAGTGAGCAACTTATATACACTAAATGCAACAATAACTTGTTTTGCTGTTTCCAATTTTTTGACAGGCAATACGCAGAAATAAGAACTGAGTCAGAGTTCAACTTGAAACTTAAAAACAAAAAAAGGCTTTGCCTGCTGCTGAAGTTAAAACCGTAACAATGCGAGGAAAAGGCATGTTTACTACCGTCACAGCTCCAGTGAGAAAATATTTACAACATGTGTGCAGCCTATAAACGGATCTCATCAACAAATAAAACAATAATAAACTTAGTCAATAATTACTCGACACAGAGCGCAAAAGGCTGCAAATAGACATTAAAGGAAAAACAACATAAAAGCAGCAGGCTGGACAAAGATAAAAATGGACTAACATTCAATAATGAAGGCAGAAATAAAATCAAGATCATTACTTTGGAGAATACTGTAATTTCTTATGTTTTAAAAAAAACATAAGACAAGAAATTATATTTCTCATATTTGAAACTAACGATAACAGAAACCAAACATTAAAAGCATACAAAAAAAAGTATCGATCTTGACTTTCTCTCTGTTCAACTAGATTTAGTGGATCCAATTTATATATGGAAGACAACACAGGCTAATAATTACAAAACTTATATACCCTCTATAAAAATAAAACAAAGACACCAATTACTCACAACAGGTGACAAACAACTCTTGGATGCTTATATCAAACCTGAACTATTTACAGCTGAATCAATATTTTTTTTTATCACCACTGGTAAAATTTTCTACAAAATTGCATAAACAGTATCTTTCCGTTAGGTGACATTCATGAATATGCATTAACTGCATAGTTTCACCACTTGAGCAACACACGTTTAGTTTAGCTGCTCATAAACAACTCTGTATAGACAAAATAAATAACAGGCAGCAAATAGCCAGTATCTCACAGGGATATGGCAGATGAAGAAGACCATTTGATTCATCTTTCCACTTGATGGACACATGAAAAGAATCCCTTTCTACTCAAAAACAACCAAGGAAAAAAGACACAAATGGTTGGTGTTCAAGTCCTTTTGAAGAGATTTTATGGTCAACCTCATGCCAGCAGCAAACATTTCGGAAACAGTTTCATATGAGAACTGAGTTCTTGTTATAGTTTAATGTTGCTTGAGATACAGATGAGGCTGGGGATGTGGCTGTCAGTGTTCTCGGTTCCTCATGGGCTGTCACAGATTTTCATTGGCTCACTCTGATCTTCAGGAATCTTTGTTGAATCCTCTCCTTTTTTATGTTTCCTTGCGTGTTTGTATTTTTCCACATATGCCTTGATCAGATTTCCCACTTTCACTGGGTTGATTTCCCCACTCTTGCTGTGGCAAACCTTGTGAACAAAAGACATTTACTTTTAAAAAAAAATAGTCATTTACATAAAAATAAAAAAAAAGAGCTTCGACGTTTGAATTGCTCACCTTCTGAACAGCTTTACGGAGAATCTCTTTGTATTCATCCTTGTTGATGTCCCTCCTTTGGTAGAAAGGCTTGATGGCCAACTTCACTTCTTCAACGGCCCTTTCCTGCATGTGCAGCTTTTTCAAATACTGTGGGGGGAATAAATAATTCCTTTTTAAGATATAATGTAATCATTTAATCTTAAGAAGTTTTCACAGATTTTATTCCCAAATATTTTGCACAGTTTATTATATAGGTTTTCTTGCAGTTGGAGGGCAAACAAGCAGACAGAGAAGCCTTCCCACAACATGGCACTGACTTTCACTGGCTTCTGTTTTCTTTACAGAGCAGCTAATATCAGTTCCTTAAACAGCTGACCACAATCTGGCAAGGAAATCAGTCAAATTAGTTGGTTGGGAGAATAGACAAAATTCTGATTTCGTAAAATGGGGGAGGCAAGTATTTTTTAATATAACTCATATATAACTTCAGTATTCTGTGTTTATTTCCTCCACTTTCTCCACATTGTGACCATCCAATCAGAGACCTGATTCAGTGGCGCATCAGATGTCTGTAAACGGAGCTTCTCAGGAGTGACAGTGGTGACAGGTAATCACACAGGAAAAGACGGAGGGCCAATCAGGAGCTTGTCGGCAGTCTAAACTCAGGGAAGCGAGCTTCAGCTGGATGTTCAGCCTGAGCTGCGGTTCTCTGCATGGTCCTAGTGCTCGATGAGTATCAGCGCACTGCAGTGCAACATTGTTTTTGGACAGTAAAAAGTGCAGGGGACCAAAACTGACTTTTGAAAAAGTGCAGGGGACATGTCCCCCGTGTCCCCCCCTCCAAATTACGACCGCGGCTGGGAGTAAAGCTGTATTTGAGCCTGGCTGTTTAATTTGTCTGAATGTGTGAATGGTTGTATATCCTGTTTGTCTCTGTGTTGCCCTGCGATGGACTGGCGACCTGTCCAGGGTGTACCCCGCCTCTCGCCCATAGACAGCTGGAGATAGGCACCAGCATTCGCGACCCCAGTTGGGACAAGCGTGTCAGATAATGGATGAATGGATGGATGTTTAATTTGTCCATACAGAGTTCCTTTCATAAATATAGGGAGTAGCTAATCATGTAGTCTGACTCTCCCTCAGGGTGTCATCAGACAACTTAAAAAACATTCCATCATTTTAGCTTGTCACTTTAGAAACCTATATTAATCAACCTTAAATTGTATTTTTTATTTTAGGGGAGTGGTGGCCTAGTGGTTAGGGCATAGAGCTTGGAATCCTGAGGTTCTGAGTTTGAGCCCCATTCCCACAGATAGCTAGCCTGGGTGCCAGTCCGAACTTAGTCCCGCCCACAAGGTTTGAGTTCGGGGAAGTTCGGTCTGGCTCTGCTCCATAGTAGCGCGAGTATTATAGCCCACTGTCAGGCGATCCAATCAAATTGTCAGGGCGGGCTTTATACGATGATGGACAGATGATNAAATATAGGGAGTAGCTAATCATGTAGTCTGACTCTCCCTCAGGGTGTCATCAGAAAACTTAAAAAATATTCCATCATTTTAGCTTGTCACTTTATAAACCTATATTATTCAACCTTAAAACTGATTTTTTTATTTTAGGGGAGTGGCGGCCTTGTGGTTAGGGCATAGAGCTTGGAATCCTGAGGTTCTGAGTTTGAGCCCCATTCCCACAGATAGCCACTCTGGGTCTCTGAGCAAGACTCTTAACCCCTAATGACTCCCTAGGTGACCCATGATAGCAGCCAACTGCTCCCCAAGGGGATGGGTTAAATGCAGAGCTAAATTGTTCCAACGTGAGATCAATTAAGCTCAATGATATCATTATTATTATCATTATGTTTAACTAACATCATAACACACAACTAAAACCCCTCATGCTATAACAGACTTTTTGTAAGATAATGGCTGCGTCCGAACGTCCGTCCTAACCCCTCAATCATTGTATAGAGCAAGGACTATATAGTGGATTTTATAAGGTAGTATCCATTCTAAAAGTGTGCGCACACCAAACACCTGAAAATGGAGTACGCTAACAAACAATCCTTATTTAAAAAAAAAAAAAAAAAAAAAAAACACAAAGCCAAGTTGTTATCCTTTAGCTGTACCTCAGAGCTTCAAAGGCTTCACCTTATGTCCGGGCCTCTTCACACCCACATTCAACCATAAATGGTCCAAGCTAAGAACTGCAAGAACGTCACTTCGCATTAAAACGAGCCACCTGATAGTTGTTTATCGATGCAACCACAGCAAAGGGAGCAAAAAATAAGCACAGTTTAACCAAGTCAGAAAAGCATGGGTTTGTTAGTGAAGTGGAGAGTCAGATAAATATATTTGTTAGCCACAGTAATTTAAAAAATAAAGTCCAATAATGGCATCTTCAGAGTCTGATGTATGAACTGATCATATTATCAAGGACATCCAGCCAGCGATGCAGTTATCGATTATATCTCAGATTAATGGATAGCTTCATAGAATTAATTTGTTTCTGAAAGTTTCTTTAGCAAGACTAAAATAATTGTTGATTTCATTAAACACCTGTGAGGGACTTTGTGCTGGGAAGAGCTGGTTCTCAGGAAACCCACAGTGGTTTACAGCTACTTTTAATCAAAAGCAAAAAAAAGGACAAAAAAAACTGCTAAAGCAACAAACCCATCTGTAAGACTTAATATGACCAAAAAAGTCTTGTTTCAGCTCCATCTTCAATTTAGATATTTAATTTTTTTTTGTAGATAACTTTGGATCTTAAATATACTGACTGGTGTGTGAAGCCATATTAAAAAGGATTTAAACCTATAATTCATAAATATATCTTGAACTCAATATATACCATGGATTGTTTGTTATCTATATTCAACTATCTTTCTTTAGGGATGACATGGGTTTATCAGGGCAGTCTGTGCAAAACTGGAAACAAATCAGCACATATATCCCAGGGCAAGGCTCTAGGGAGTGTAATTCATTGATAAATCAGGCACCATATTGACCCAGGTATCTCTGAAAATACATTCCCTCCTTGTTGTTCCATTTACAACGTCCAGCATAGTTAAAGCATCAGTCAGGTACCATAACGTACAGGGAGTTTTAATGGTATTTAATCTTCACAGCAATTTGTGTTAAATTTATATATTTATCTGTCGTACAAATCACCCTGTTATTCACCAGGGAAAGAAATGTGATGTTCAGGAAACATTTAGTGCAAACTCTAAGTTTAGATTTTAAATCTAAACTGATACTTGTTTTTTCTTTTTCTTTTATTTTTTTTATTTGTGTATCAGATGTGTTCAGCAGTGCCAGCATATATCACAATGAAGTTTCAGATCCGATAAAAGTTCATCTAAGATGAAAGTTTCATGTGAAGTGAAATGAAATGTCTGAGAGGAGTTCTGATGCATTCTGGCTTCAATTCTCCACCTCAGTTACGATCTGCGTCACCAATTTCTCCTCTCTACAAACCCTGGTTACCTGGATGGATGGGTCAGAGCTCACAAAGCAGATAACAATGCTTGCATGAAGTCAACATGCTCAAGTTTCAGGCCCTGCTTTGTGTGCGTACGCAAATAAGACACCTGGTTAGAGGCACAAGGTAAAAGAAGTGCCTCAACTTTCTTGTATTCTAGTTTTTTTTTTGGGGGGGTTGTAATATATGCTGTTGTTGAATGATTTATACTTTATGTTGTGTGGGGAAAAGTTTTAATGAAAGAATTCGGATTTAGTTATTTTAAATGTTGAATGTTGCAACTGAAAGTAGTAGTAGTGCTATACGATCTGTTTATGTCTACACGGGCCAATCGGGGGGAGCCTCACAGAAGAGTTATGTTGCTGCCCTACCCGTCACAACCCATTTTGCCTCGTGTGAGGAGAAAATCAACCTTTGAGAGCATGTAATCCGCGAGTGAAGGTGCCAGACAGAAACTCGTGTACAAGTAGAGAAGCGTAGGAGGAACGGGCGCGCCCGCCAAGCTATTTTCTCACCCCAAAGCTGCAGTTCTTTGTGTGTTTAATACACTTGCAAATTTGTTTTGCTCTCTGAGGTTTTGCCATACTATACCTCATCAATATCTATATGCTAAAAAGAAAACAATCATATTGTCACCTTGTCTTTCCTTGACGAATCCCCTTCTTCTGCTTCCCTTTGCTCAGTGGTTGCCAATTCTTCGGGATTGAGGCTTCCAGAACTTGAGCTTGCAGTCTGTAAACCAGCAACACTTTTCTTCGAGGTATCACCAACAGTGCCCTGTAAAAGTAGCAAATATGAAATAAACCCAACCTTTAAAATTAAAATCCAAACATAATAACTGCTTGTGATACCCTTGGTGGCAAGGCAGCCATAAAGGGCTCATATTACTTGGCAAGGAGATTGTTGCATCACTCTGAGAACTTGTTCCCCCCAATGTTGGCATTCATTCAAGCTGGAGAATATTAGCCTAAATGGCCTTTTTTGGGAAATGCCGCAGGAACTTAATCAGATTTCATTCATACTTTGGGCAAGGCCAAAAACCTTTCATTTTTTCTTTTCTGAAAATAGAGTTGTGCCAGTTGATTTGTCCCAACCATTGCCCTGCTGCATAGCTTAAAGTCCGAAACAGATGGCCAGACATCATCTCTCAGACATTATCTGAAGACAACAGAATTCACCAACAAGTCATGCAGATGTGTAAAGATCCACTGTGTTGTGACGGAAACAGCTTTGTAACTTTATTCCTGCATGATAGATATTAAGACTTTTTCTTATTGTGAACTTATTTATATTGGTGTGTGGCGCTTTTGAGTTAATTAATGTAATCAGTTGTATTCTAAATGTTTCTGGATTCAGAGGGTTTTGACAGAAAACAGCTCTGAGTTTGTTCAGTGGAATTCAGTCAAATATGTGGTTAATTATAGCTTAGGGTGGCGGTTATATATTTTCACACAAGGTCAAAGTTATTTGGAAGCAAATTCTTTTTAAGAACTCAGTTTACCCAAAACATTTTACATATAGCAAGTATTTAATGAAAATAATTCAACACAGCATCTATATTCACTATTCATTTTCTATTGTTCTAAACCAGTGTATATAATTGGTGCATTCAATCAATCTGCACATGCACATCAACAGCAGATCTAATCATGTCCATTCACAAGTGTAGGCTTGTTCTGCACAACAGATTTTCCTTTTAATTTAGTGGTGAAAGGTTTTCTGAGGTGTCAGTTCTGGTTTTGTTTTATCTGAAAATGCTTCAGTATCAGTTTCAGTTTCAACCATGTGACTCTACAAAGAACACAGCCTGGATCTGAAGTAAACACTGCTGCCTAATGGTCATAACTAAAATGACACTGAATGGACATTTAAAAGCAGGAAGAGAGGCTCATTTGTACTGCAGTAAGTTACTGATTCCCACCTGATTGGATTCCTTGACAGGCAAAAAAGGTTTGCGAGATCCTTCCTGCTTCAGCTTCAGTTTATACAGTGCTAGCTCTGAGGAGGAAAAACAAACAAAGCAGAGACTGAGAGCAGGTCTCTGAACATTGCTTTTCATGAACATGAAAGAAAATGGCTTCTTAAAGTGAAACAGTCCAGTGAAAACACTTACTGCTGGCTGATTTCTCTGGCCTAGGCCCCTCTGGCTCCTGTATGTTCCAGGTAACACGCTTCACTTGCGTCTTGGACTTTGATCCAGTCAGTGATATCTGCTCCCCGCCATCCTTCCCCTCCAAAGCTTCTTTCTCGTCTTTAGCTTCTAGACTGATGGGCTCTGATTGGACAGGATCTAAACTGTCCAGTATTACGTCAACATTGAAATCATCATCAGACTCTGAGGGTTCCTGTTTTATAGGGGCCGCTGCCCCGGATGTGTTTTGTTGTTTCCCAGACTCTAATGAGTCTGCCTCAGACTCACACACGGAGTCATGGGGGGGGTCAGCAACAGTCATTGTAGGAGGTGAGGAGACAGAAGCTGAGGAGCAGTCCTGTGTAGGACTCGACTCAGATTTGGTTATGATTGCTTCACAAGACTCCATCTTGATATGATCTTCCATAATCTCCTGATCGCTCTTTGATACTGCTGAGGAGGGTAGGTCCTTTTCCTCGCTTTTCACTTCTTTACCAATGGGAAAATCTTCAAACATATCCATAGGTTTTGGTTTTTCTTTTTTAATTTCTTTTTTCTTTTTTATTTCTGTGAAATTTTCTTTAGTTTGGTTCTCACCTCCTTCAAAATTTTTGTCTTCATTTTTAACCTGAGGGACAAAAGCACAGGAAGGAAACTCCTGCTTTTTTAATTCAGCACATTTGTTCTTCTCCAAGTTTCTTTCTGAAATGTCTTTCTCCTTTTTTCGGTCATTCGTTTCCCTGGAGGATAAACTGCTTGAAGATGCAGTTTTGTCTGTAGTTCTGGTGGATCCTTCGGTTTTCCTTCTCTCTCTTGAGCAGAATCCGGTTCTTTCTGTTCTGTCTTTAGATCTTGAATCCACTTTGTCTCTGGAGGAGACCGTTTCATGTTCTCTGGCACCATCTTTCCTCCTTTCTTTAGATCTGGACCGGGATCTTGAACGGGATAAACGACGCTTACGATCCTTCGATCTCGATCTTGTTCTGGACCTGGAGCGCGACTTGGACCTTGATTTAGAGTGAGATCGACGGTGTCTTTTCTCCTTAGACCCTTGCCTTCTCTCTGTGGGTTCATTTCTCTCCTTGCTCCTATATTTATGCTTCTTCATCCTTGAACGCTCAGTGCTGCTTGAACTGGAACAAGATCTAAAAGACAAAACACAAGACAACAGCAGGTTTAGACCACGATTAAAGAACTAATCCATCACTGAATGAATATAACATCTTCAAAATGTGAACTAAGCCCAGTTAAAACTCCATGTTTTGTGAAGTGAAAACTAAAACATTTTGTCAGTTAATTGAGCACATTTGTGTTTCTATAATAGGTGGTAAAACTTTTTCAATATGGAGCTGACGATAACCAACGATATCCTAAAATCTCTCATAACTTGTGATTGAGGTAAAACCTTTTTGCTTAAAATATATTTAAGTGGCTTTTTGGTAAAGGGGTCAGAGTGGCTATGCAATTCCTACTGTGAAGCATGGAGGTGGTAACATCATGTTTTGAGGGTGTTTTTCTCCATATGTAACAGGGCGACTGCACTGTATTAAGCAGAGGGTGGCTGGGGCCATGAATGGCGAGATTTCTGAGGGAAGGAGAACAATCTCCTTCCCTCAGCTAGAGCATTGAAGATGGGTCGATGCTGGGTCTTCCAACATGACAAAGACCTGAAGCACACAGCTAGGATAACCAAGGAGTGGCTCTGTACGAAGCATATCAAGGTGGTTCTGGCAGGGCCTAGCCATTCTCCAGAACTAAGCCCAATTGAGAATCTTTGGACTGCGTTTCTAAGCAACAGCCCAGAAACCTAACTGATCTAGAGAAGATCTGTGTGGAGGAGTGGGCCAAAATCCCTCCTTCAGTGTGTGCAAACCTGGTGAAAAACTACAGGAAGCGTTTATGTCTCTTACAGTGGCCATGCACCTACGATGACAATTTCAGATCTCTACAAGATTTCTTATTGGGAGAACTTGCAAAATAGCAGGGCGTTCAAATACACTATTCAAAAAAAATGAAGGAACACTTTGTAATCAGAGTATAGCATCAAGTGATTTAACACTTCTGGGATATTGACTTGGTCAGGTAAGTAGCAGAGGGGGCTGTTAATCAGTTTCAGCTGCTTTGGTGTTAATGAAATTAACAACAGGTGCACTAGAGGGGCAACAACGAGACGACCATCAAAACAGGATTTTTTTATAGGTGGAGGCCACTGACATTTTTTTCCCCTCCTCATCTTTTCTGACTGTTTTTCACCACTTTAGCATTTGGCTAGGGCCACTGTCACTACTGTTAGCATGAGGCGCTACCTGGACCATACAGGGGTTGCACAGGCTGTCCAACTCCTCCAGGATGGCAAATCAATACGTGCCATTGGCAAAAGGTTTGCTGTGTCTCCCAGCACAATCTCAAGGGCATGGAGGAGATTCCAGGAGACGGGCAGTTACTCCAGGAGAGCTGGACAGGGCCGTAGAAGGTCTGCTTATGGTCTCAACCCATAAGCAGGACCGGTATCTGCTCCTTTGTGCAAGGAGGAGCAGGAGGAACACTGCCAGAGCCCTACAAAATGACCTCCAGCAGGCAACTGGTTTGAATGTGTGTGACCAAACAATCAGAAACTGACTTCATAAGGGTGGCCTGAGGCCGGCGTTCTCTAGTGGGCTCTGTGCTCACTGCCCGGCATGGAGGAGCTTGATTGGCATTTGCCACAGAACACCGGAATTGGCAAGTCTGTCACTGGTGCCCTGTGCTTTTCACAGATGAAAGCAGGTTCGCCCTGAGCACATATGACAGAAGTGAAAGGGTCTGGAGAAGCTGTGGAGAACGTTATGCTGCCTGTAACATGGTTCAGCATGACCGGTTTGGTGGTGGGTCAGTGATGGTCTAAGGGAGGCAGATCCACGGAGGGATGCACAGACGTATACAGGCTAGACAACGGCACCCTGACTGCCATTAGGTATCAGCATGAAATCCTTGCACCCATTGTCAGACCCTATGCCCTTGCAGTGGGTCCTGGGTTCCTCCTGGTGCACGACAATGGGATAGTATGCGGCGAGAGTATGCAGGCAGTTCCTGGAGGATGAAGAAATTGATATCATTGATTTGCCCCCATGCTCGCCTGACCTAAATCCAATAGAACACTGCTGGGACATTATGTTTCGATCCATCCAACGCCGCCAGGTTGCACCTCAGACTGTCCAGGAGCTCAGTGATGCCCTGGTCCAGATCTGGGAGGAGTTACCATAGGACACCATCCGTCATCTCATTTGGAGCATGCTCCGACATTGTCAGGCATGCATACATGCACGTGGGGGCCATACAAATGACTGAATACCATTTTGAGTTGCTGCAATGAACTTTCAGCAAAATGGACTAGTCTGCCGCATAATTTTTTCACTGTGATTTTTTGGGTGTCTTTGAATTCATCCCTCTGTAGGTTGATAATTTTCATTTCCATCAAATGATGAGGCATCCTTTTGTTCATAACACATCACCCAGTCCATATCAGTATAAATAAACAGCACGATTTTTTTTACCCAATTGAGATCTGATGTGTTTTCAAAGTGTTCCTTAAATTCTTTTGAGCAGTGTACTTATTTTCCTCACTGTAACTGAGGGTCAGATTTTTTTACATTATATTTATCTTCATTTGTAAATAAAATAAATGTTACATTAAGTGTAGAAAACATTAAATATTGAATTTCAAGTTTTTTGCAGGACAAAATCTTGCCATTTTTAAAGCAGTGCTCAATTCTGAGAACAACTCTGCCGTACAACTTAAGCAGATTTCCGCTTACCTGGATCGCCTTCTTGTCTTCTCTCTAGAGCGTGATCTGGACCTCCACCTCTTCCTGTGAGTTTGGTCTGGTGATCTGGTCTGAGAGCTGTCAGAGGTGGAGGGTGCCCTCCTTCTCTCTTTTGACCCTGATCGTCTTGAGCTCCTGTCTTTCTCCCTACCTTTGTCCCTTTCCTTCTTTTTGCCTCCCTTATCAGAGGCATGGCGATTTTCTTTTCTGCCTCGGTCCGTCTCAGAGCTACTGGAAGGCTGATCTTTTGATATTTTGGAGGGCGGGTTCCTGTCGACCAAATCTCTTACTAGGGCACTTGATGAGGCTGGTAAATCTGATTTAGTGTCTTCCGACTGTTTCTTTGAGATGGTACTTGAGCTGGAAGCTGATGAATCATCCCTGTATTCGGTAAGATATCTCCTGGACGTTTCAGCAACAGGTCCACTGCTTTCATCAGGATTTTTCTCAGATTTTATGTGTTCTACATGTTTATCAGCAGAGGTTTCAGTATCTGCAATCTCACTTTTTATCTTACTTATAACCATGTGACCACAACTTTCAGAGTCACTTCTTTCAGATTCGTCTGAATTTGGTTCTTTCTTAATTATAGTATTGAAGAATTTTCGTTTCTCAGACTTAACTTTGGCTAAATTTGATTCCTTTTCATCTTTTACAAAATCTGCAGAAAGAATTCTTTCTGGCCTTACAGTTTGCTGCAAACTCACGGGTATTTCCTGTGAAGCGTCAGTCTCCTCTGATTCAGCTTTCACCTGCACCACATCCTGGCTTTTTAGCACAGGACCCTTGTTACTTCCTAAAGTTGGAGGTTTCCCTCTGTTTGTGCCAGACTGAAGGCTCACCCCCAAGCTTGTGGCCTCTGCTTCATCACTGGAGCTACTTGAATCAGATAGAGTGGGATTAAAAGGATCATAAATATCATCTTCTTCCTTACCGACAGTTCCACATGTTGCTAGAAGTGTTTTTTTGTCCTTATGCATTTGCTTCTTTTTTGCCTTGTCTTGATCTTTTTCCCTCCACTGTTCTTTTATGTTGCTTCCAGCTGGAGAGGCTGATGTAATACTTAACCGCCTGGCATGCCAAGAGTTCCCACTGGAGTTGATACGAAAGCTTACAGCTGAGGATGAAGAAAATGGAGCATGTCGAGCCTGGCTTGTAGAAGTGGTGGAGGAAGAGGAAGCAAATGAATTTGAGAATGATGAAGATGAAGTGGCCCTTTCAGATCTGTTCTTATGGGATTGACTATCAGAGTGGCCCTTTTGCTGATCAACACTCTGCTGTCTTCCTTGGTCCCGGGAAAGGCTCGTCATAGCATTTTCAGGCAACCATAGACCATTGCTCGTCCCGGTAGAATGACTACTTCCTCTACTACTGTCCAAAACACCACCATCGTTTGTGACACTGCTGCTCTCTCTTTTTATTTTTGGTATCCGAGGAAGCACTGATACATCCACCCACATGGGCTTAACAGGAGCTTTCTTAGATTGGGACTGTGACACAGTTGTTCCTTTGTCCCTGACAGAGTCCTGGTGGCGGTGTACAGATGGAGAAGGTGCTTCCCTTAGGGATCTCATCCCATTTGTTGGTATTGGTCTGTTTGGACGAGGCGGCTGCAGATTTATATTTGCTCCAGAAGATAAATCTGATTGTGGTCTCGGTTGGTTTTGGTTGGATGACAGCGGAACGATGGAGGGTAAATGAGATGAGCTTGGAGCTGAGGGTCCGTTTACAGAGGTAGGTGAGGATCCCGGTAGATTCCCATCATGGGGCAGAGATACCGAGCTGTCTCCTAAGTTACGCAAATATCCTGGGCTGTTCAGGGTGCTGATATCACTTGAACTACTTGTTTTCCTATGAGTTGGGATTTGCGTAGATGCCGTCACTGTAATAGAACATTTTTGGAAACAGTGCCACATTTAAAAACCATGTTCAAACATTTGATCAGAATTTGTTAAGGGTTTCATCATAATGGCTAAAGATTGAAACATTAGCTACATCACCAAACACTGGAATTAAACTCAGTAGGAAAAATAATTTCTTTTAACTGTTCGATTTAATATTTATTTCTCTAGTAAATGAATTAATTTTGTTTATTAACTTCTTTTACAAGGGTGTCCTGGCCAAGATAAGAATCAGCACAATGTACAAAGGGCAGAAAAGTCATATCTGTCCACTAGTCAATACTTTATAAGCCTTTTTCACTATTAGTTTGATATATATATATCATTTTTTTAAACAAATCTGCAATACACACTTACTTGGTTTTGAAGCTTTAAGAGAGCCATCCCGACTAATTACAACATCAGAACTGTCCATCAGGAGTAGGCTTTGTCCAGACAGGATGCTTCCAAGTAAATCAGGAACAGGAGCAGCCTCAGCAACACTCCCCGATTGTGGGAAGTCCACACCTCTCCTAGAGCAGCAAAACAAATTATGAGAAATCCCCATCTCAGGGGTGTACATAGAAATTTTGGGGAGCAGGAGCTCTAGCATTGTTTTGTGTCCATCTGTGCACATACCTGCACTTGATCACCACAGATAAAAAATATAGGATTGTAAACAAAATCAAGCTGCATCTTTTTTTAAAAAGTCTATTTTTTTAATCCTTGGATTCCATATGACTCAGTTAATTTATCATTTAAAATGTGTCATCACCTGGAAAGCTGACTTTTTCATGCATGCTAGGCTTAAGTTAGGCCTGTAAGAGAAACTGTTGTGAAGGTGGCTTGGTTTTTATTTATTTTTTTCTACGTGGGTTCCAGAAAAAAACCAACATGGGTGGACTCTCATTTAAATACAGAAATTATAAAAAGGGTGCCAACATGAGCCCAACTACCTGTCCTCATCCCGCCTAAAGGGGCTGATTCCTACAAGGACCTGCAGGAAGCCAGTAAGTGTTGCTGAGTGTGTGTAACAGGCTGGGAAAACATGGTAAACCATGACAAACTGCTAGTGTTGCTAATGCTACAGTCAGATGAACCTGCATACACAAGGGTCAAAATCGACAGTGTGACTATAGCAGCAGAAAGTGCTCTAGACCTGTGACAAAATGCCCCAATCTAAAATATTCCTATTCTACAGCTTACAAACATCATGTATGATGGGCAGACAAGAGAAATGGACTTAGTCTACAGGAGAAGAAGACAGTAGTCACTCCTTTTCCATTGCCACTCAAAAGCCTGGGGCTTTTCAGAAGCACAGGTAGCATTTCTCTACATATTTACCCAGGTAAATTCATTTTCCTGGGGTTTTGGACCCTCTAGAGACCCATTATTTTGTGGGATTTTAAACAGTTGTTTGTGTAGAGCTATAGTGCTCTGTTCAGCCAGCGGCAACAGTAACAAAAGGAGCTGACCGTGCAAATGTTTTTGTTTATACCCAATGCTTGTCACAAAATACGTTTAAAGACTAGACCTTAATATTTCATCTTTGTAGTCAGCCTTTCAAGAATTCTCCTACTTCGAAATCTGTAATGAAGCTGCTGAGGCCAATATGGGCTGCCTACTCAGCAGCGATGTGGAGTGAGAGCTCAGGTAAGCAGAGCCATAGCATTAGCTAGTAAGTAGGTCATTACCCGTTAATTAAAAAGTAATTTAAAGATGTTTTTAAGAGGAAATTACACCTCAGAACCCTAATCTGTGTAATCTGTTAATCAAGATTATGATGGTACTTTTAAATCTGTTTTTTAGACTGGCAGAGTCCCTTTGATAGACCAGTCTGGATGCTAGGCTAGTTTGGCTAACCAGGTGGTAGAAGCAGTGGGAATCCCATGAGAGAGCAGTCAAACCAGGCCAAGGGCTCTGGGATTTTCCACTCTCTGTTTTCATCAGTAGTGACTGAGAGTGAAAATAAATACATGATACATGTGGTGAAAGCTGAAAGCGCCAGAAGATAAACTGTAGTGTTTTGCCAAAAGTTTAGATAAATTAGATAATGTAGCTATTAATACTAACCGGTTGTGCAACAGTTTAAAGACAAATATTTGGAATGATGGCATAATGATTTGAACGAGCACTTACTTTTTCCTGTAGAAAAAAGGAATATGCATTTACCTTAAACCAACTTTTCATATAAACCTTATTTAGTGTTAAAAGTTAAACATATATTTAAATATACAGTTTTTTATGATTCTGTGCAGAGAAGGCTGCAGGGAAGACCACAATTTAGATGCTGCCTTTGGTTTGATGGGATCCTGCCAATCCATTGTCTAGACAAGGACTTTAAGGCATAATGTTTTGACTAAAAACTTTTAGTCTAAATCTCTAAAACTTTTAGAGTTTTAGAGATTTAGACTAAACAACATTTCTCCCAGGCTGAGTAAAAGGGATGCATTTTTATGAATTATCCAGGATTCCCTTCACCGGGGTATACCGTCTTGGTACTGTCAGTTGTAAAGGGGTATTGAGGAGAAGGAGTTGAGGAGTATCATGGGGGTGTAGGAGCGTGTTACAATTTGGTCCCATGAGGATCATGGGAATGAGCCACACTGCCAGGAGTGGAAGAAAATTCAATATATGGTCCATTGCATAATGAGACAAAGGTAGTGAGGTCCACATACTGATGTTATAGAATACCAGTTCTTCTATCTTTGTCTCTTGTTTTATAAAAGCATGATTTTGTACTTATAATGTATTGTCAGTTAGATATATCTGCCTTAGCTGGTTTTGAACTAAATAGCTAAAAAGATCCTAAATTGGGTTTTGTTGAATGCTTAAAAAGACATTCAAACACACAACACAAAACCTAATGATTTTCATTTGGCCATGTTTGGTGTACTACTGCCACCTACTGTTGGTCACAGGTCACTTCAGAAGCCAGTTCTAATGACTGCATTGCAACTATATAGAATTCATAAAAATCCTGGAGAGTTAAGTTACCTGGAAAGGCCTGCAGTGACTGGACGAGCCACAGGCTGATGAGAGCGAAGGGCAGAGCGAGAGATGCCTCGCCTTTTCGCCTCCAACAACGACGTCACCTGGGCTTGCTCTTCAACCTCCTCACTAGTAAAATAAAGAAAATCAATAAAAAAAATGATCACTGCATAAAGCTAAACACTCAAAATTCATAACGACAGGTGCTGTGTTACAGGATAGAACAGTAGTAACTGATGTACCAGGGTTTAGTACGAAAATAAGTAAATAAAAGGCCATCAACACGATCAGGAAGCACTGGGCTCCTTACTGGTCAATGAATGGATCCAGGTCAAATGGATCTCCGTAGATCGAGAGTGATGCTGCTCCAATGTCGGCACGCATGTTGCTCAAAGTGTTCTCTGACGGCCGGTATACTGTTGGAAGTGAAGAGCTCTTCTTGTCCTTAACAATTCCAAGATTATTGGCAATGCGGCCTCTTGGAGTGGCCACCTTTCTTTCAATCTAATGGGACAAAAAATGAAAAAGCTATTAAGAAACAGCTTAGATATCACAAACAACATTTCCTACTAGCCAGTGTTTGCGCTTGGATTATTATCCTGGGGGAGCAATGGTGAAAGAATATAGCTCAAGAGAAAATATTTAATATTCTATACTAGAAAATATTCTATTTTATTTTTGTCCAACTTTTGTCAAAATGTGCCCTTTTTACAAGGATGGGCTGCTGGTAAGATGCAAATGGAACCCTTATGAATATTTTTTTTTTGCATAAAAACCCATTTTCAACAGTTGAAACAGTTTGTAGGTATATAATGATATAAAAAATTGTTTCAGTTGATAATTAACTACCGT